TTGTTTCCCCTTTTGATAATTTTCTCCGCCTCTACTTCCCTCGATCTGGTCTGGTAAATGGGCATTGCGGGGCTGACTTGGTGTGCGATGGCGAGGAGGTTGGTTGGTGATGGGAAGGGGGGTGGTGGTGATGGGGTTAGGAAGGGGGAGGGGATGAAGGGGATGAGGGTGTTGGTGAATGGGGCGAGTGGCGGGGTGGGGTCGGTGTTGGTGCAGATTTGTAAGGGGATGGGCGCTGAGGTGGTGGGTGTTTGTTCGGGGGCAAGTGAGGGTTTGGTGAAAGGGCTGGGGGTCGATGAGGTAAGTTATCCAGAGTGTGAGAGTGAGACACGAGCTGGGAGAGACTAACGGAGCAGGTGGTCGATTACCGGGTGCATAACCCCCTCGAGGCGCACCTCGCTGAGAGGTTTGGAGAGCAACAGTTCGACGCGGTGCTGGATTGCGTTGGCAGCCAGTCCCTGTATATGAACTCGCCAAGATATCTCAAGCCAGAGGGCAAGTTCATCAACATCGTGGGCGGCTGGTCGCAGGGCGTGGTGCCGTTCATCAGAAACAAGCTGAGGCCGTGCCTCCTGGGCGGAACCCCGCGGAGCTACGACCTCTTCCTCCTCAGTGCGTCCGGCGAAACGGCCAGGGAGGCGGCGGCATTTGTTGAGCAGGGAATTATCAAGCAAGCCGTCATTGACTCGGTGTTCCCTATGGAGGAGGCGATTGAGGTGCGTTTGGTTGGTGGGTTGGGCTGAAGGCACGCTAACACTAAACAGGCATACGAGAGACTCGCGACCGGAAGGGCTAAAGGGAAGGTGGTCGTGGAAGTCGATAATAGTTGAGGTTCAAGTCAACCTGTGCTCTTCCTGCCACTGAGGCTGAGGCAGAGACTTTCCGGCCCTGGCTGGAAGAGCCATATATTACCCGTTACCCTCGTCATATGAGAGTCAGTTAAGCGCACTATTTAGATAACCAAAGACGAACTCGGCTATGGCAAGGCTTCGGTCAGAGCTAACTACAATTGGTTTATCACGCTGAGCGCGGGGATAGTAGTGTTGGTGGAAGGACATTAATTCCAAGGAATAGGTTGCTATTTATGTACAAGTATTACTTCACAGAATTCTAACATTCCACGCGCTCAATAACAATACAAATCCAGGTAGTCAGTGTCAAAACCTTCAGTCAGTGAAAATTTCTCATGGTTATCTGCTTTGGTTGCTGCCTACCAACCTATAGTTATCGGTAGCAATTCACTTGAAAGCGCAACACCAAATATGCCCAAACAACGTCCTAGGTCCCGAATCAAGCGTGGCTTCCAAGCAATGTAGGCTCTACAGTTCATTTGACAGATGTTTCTTCCCATTGCTGGTACGAACTTTGAATCTGCCCAGGTCAGTCACCTCTATCCTGTTTCTGGTTTATGTGATTAGGAAAGAATTATAGGAAACTTCACCACATGGCTATTTCACAATTTACCTTCGAATGGAGAATTACTCGATTATGTTCATATGCCAGGTCTCGGATTGTAGGTTCAAGGAAATAATCATCACACGATACATTTCGAGGCAAACGGGAATAACCGGACTAGACATCCTTTCACCAAGTCTACTTCTCTGCTATGTTCAAGATAGGTACATTCGGTTTAATACTCAGTGGAGCTACAGTGCGGGAGTGTTTGGCAAAGAGTGGTTATGCTTAGAAGATACCAACAAGGTCTGATAGTAACCAACCTGGAACAACTTTTGTGACTCCCAGAAAATCGCCAATACTGCCTACATTTCGCCTGAACCGTTCTTCACACAACGCGTTTGTTCAAGCTGGCCACGTGGTTGGGTAGTGCCTTTACTTATTAGCTGCCTCTGCCACGGCTTTCTGCCCGGGCTGTCTACTATTTATTCCAATCACTGAGTTATCAACCACCATCGCCACCTTGCTTCCGTCTTCTCCATCAACTCCGTCAGGACAAGAGTCTCTGGTCTATAATTCCCTTCTCCCCGGCAAAAGGAACCACTCGGCGCAAAAATGCCAATTTTCAACACGACGGAAGTGGTGGAGATCGAGGACGACGATCAGGAAGTTAAGGCTGGCCCCAGCAAGTTCAACAAACGCAATATGTGAGGCATAATCCACTCTCAGCTCAAGAGGTATCATGTCGTTTGCTAACTTGGATAATAGTAAGGGTGCTGCCATGCAAGGATTCCATCTCACACCCGCAGCGGCGCGAGCAGAAGCGTAAGTCCATTTTCACTTGTTGAACAGCAGAGCGATTGTCGACCCCCGGTTGCCATTTACGCATCACGTCTCAGCCCGCCGGCGCAAGAATCCGCTAACAGACTGGACTCCATTTAGTATCGCCGGCACACAGCGAGTTTCCTCTCCGGCGCCCAACACCCCCTCGGCTGGTCTCTTCACCCAACCAACGCCAACAGCTTGGCCCTCTGAATCCAGCCGCGGATTAAGTGAGCATTTATGGAACAGGCGGTTTGCCACCTCCCCGTCCACGCCCACGCCCGCAGCTCCTAGCGCAGCCCCAAACCCCGACCTTCCCCGTCCCCGTCCCCGCCCCTACCTCCCAAACCCCAGCCTCGACAGCGACAGCGGTAGCGGTAACACCCCAACAACAGCCCCAGCAACAGCAACAGCCACAGTCCCAACCCCAACCCCAGCCCCAACAACAGGACCAACACCACCCCCTCCCCCCCTACCACGCCCGCGGCGCCACCATGACCCTGACCGAAGCGCGCTTCTTCTACGGACACGTCGCCCGACAACTCGAGCGTGCGGAGGACGAAGACGACGAGGGACGGCGGCGCCTGGGTCTGGGTATAGAGGCGGAAGACGCCGTCGAGATTGCGTTTGCGGTGGCGCAGGCGCGGATGCGGCAGGAGTTTGGGGTGCATGGGGTGCGGATTGCGACGTGGGATACGGGGAGGGTTAGGGCGGGGAGGTTGAGGGTTGGTGGGGATGGGGGTGGTGGTGGTGGGTTTGGAGGGGGAAGGGCTGGGGGGGCGCGGGTGGATGGTCGGCCTCGTGCGGTGGGTGAGGACGGGTGGTGACGGTTCTGATGATAGTTCTGAGGACGTT